GTGTGTGTGTATGTCTGTGTGTTTTTGTTAATGCTTGCAGGGAAGAAAGTTGCTTGTTTTTTCATGTGTTCCAACATTTTTCAACCAGCCCAGCCAGCCGCACGCTTTTAATCTCCTTCATCCCAATCATCAGCACTTTTAACAATTACCAAAAATCCCAAAGTCACTTCGAAAAAGTCCAAGGGACCGGGGAAGTAAATTAGTTCTTTAGCTAACCCCAGCACATTTACAACAGCGCTTTATAGCTGTTATGATGTTGATGAATGTGCACTGCCCCTGCCAAATAAACTTATAATCGAGTGATAAAATAATGAATGAATTCCGAGTGGAACAACAGCCCGTGACACGTGCCAGTTTCCTCACCTCTACTGTGTGTGTGCGCACATCTGCCCTCCTGTCTAGTCTAGTGGTAAAGGTGTGTGTTTATTGCTCACTAGCACACGCTACAAAGGAGATAGATTAGGACCACACACTCTTTACACATGTGTCCAACAGTGATGGGGGAGGAGGAGGTCGAGCCTCCCGAGGCTCATTTGTGTATAATATGTGTGTGTATGCAGACGCAATAGATACGTCTGTTTGCATGTCTGTGTTTTCATAGTCAAACCCCTTACCTGTCTGTCCATCTGCCCGAACAAAGGAAGAAGGAAAGAGGGAAAAGGAGAAAAGATTGCTGCCTCTGGTCGGATTGGCTGCCTCCTTTTTCTCCTTCCCCTGGCCTTTCCATTCTGCCACATCAGCTGAAAGCTCTTTTCACAGCTCCTGTTGCTCTCAGCTCGTAAACTTACACACACTCCCTTTTTTAACCGAGGGGGAAGAGTGACGGTAGGAAGAGAGAGAGAGAGCAAGGGAGCCAGGAAACAAGGCGGTGGGGGGGGGGGGAAGGGGCCTGCTGCCCCGTTGGTTTAACTCGAGCAATACGGTCCATATCATTTTGATCTCGCCTCCTCTCTCGGCCACATTCCTTTTTTTTCTGCACTTCTTCCTAAAAATAAGAAAAATAAAAAAAACGCTATACCCAGTGGATATTGTCTAATCATTTCGCCCAAGGATACGTGTAGGCTTACCAGGCTCCTGCTTCCTTACCCACACAGCCCGGAAAAAGGCCTCCGAGCATGAATTATTCATGAAGTCAAAACCTACAGGATGGGTGTAAACGGGTGTGGGCTTTTAAATATACAAACAATCTGTAAACGGGTGCTGGAATGCTGCTCCCGTGATATGACCTACTAACACCTATTCCATAATAAGAATAACCTCCTCAACCAAAAACACATTTGTGGCGGTGACTCCACCAGTCTCTCTCTCTCTCTGGCGGCTTTTTTTTTTTTTTTTTGCAGTTGAAACACTTAGCCTAGTTAGCTAGTCTTTTATCCGGCGCCAATTAGCCAACGATTAATGAATTATTGAGAAACGGGAAGGGTGGTGGTGGTGGGGTGGAGGGGGATTAAATTTTAATGTGGATCTTAGGGGGAATAGTTGTATTACAAGTCACCGCAAGCAGCAAACCGGGAGACGCCCACCCTCAGCAGCCGTTTACAATAATCTACAGCCGTTTACGAAAGTGGGTAAAGAGGAGAGGAAAAAAGGGAGAGAGTGCGAGTAAAGGAGGGGTGAATGAGCGCTTTTTTTGGCATTAAGAACAGACGCTGAAATCAGACTTGCAAAAAGGTTCCAGAAACTACAAAAGTCCATATGTCATGATCAGATGAGTGGCCGAAGCCAGCATCCTCGTCTCTCTGTGCATGTGTGTGTGTTTGGGTCACCTGCCACCCTCCTGCCAGGCACGCCATCTTCGCCCCTCCCCCCACCCAAACTCCCAAGCAGTAATGTAAGTTTCGATCTTTCATTAGGGTGGCCGTGTAAGGCCGATAATACGAGATGCTGAGATAAGGATAATATATGTCTGAGGAGGAGCTCTTCCCAAGGTGATCGTTCTGGTTCAGTTCCCTCTTCCTCAAGCAGAACCTGTATTGGCACTTGAGACTTAACTGGTATTGATTTACTTAGGGTTAGGGCCGTCTCCACCCCCCGCTCTGCTCTCCCCGCCGCTCGGTGTTTCTCTTTCACCTCCCAGCACCTGTCTCTGTTTATATTCCTCCAGGAAGGCTTCTTGTCAGGCTGTGGTAGCATCAACCCGTGGAGGGGTCTATAAAAAAAGGTGGATGTCCTGGTGCATTCTGATATTATATTTAAGGAATTAATCTGGCAGCTGAGCACCCACCCCCCTCCCATCCTCCCTCAAAAGCACCCACAGATGCCTGCTTTTCCTCCTCACCTCTGTCATCCCTCGCACATTTTTTGGGTGCGTCTGTGGCTGCTGTAGCGTCATAATTAGCGGCTGGATGTGACACATGTTTCCAATTTGCTACGTCTGGTCACTGCACCGAGGTGGTGGTGGTGGGGCGGGGGTGCAAGAGATAGAGACAGACGGAGAGTGACAGTAGGGAAAAGAGGGAGAGAATAATAGAGGGACAGAAGAGGGGGGGGAATGAGAAGAGATGCTTTGATTGTAAAATTCCAGTCCAATATGGATGTTTAAAACAATCCACCATGTTTTTCCCCGTTAGTTTACCTCGTTGTTAATTCCAAGGGAAACAACAAAATTGCACAACTGCCCTGATTTAAAGCTTTCAGTTGGAACACTTAGCCAGCTCACAAATGATGTGGCACAGATGATAATTGCAAAAAAAACAAGGTGCCAATATCACAGTTTGCTAGGCTGGTATCAGTCCATACCTGCACTACTGATATTAGGCTGATATTAGAATTTATGCATCCCTGCAGAAAAAAAGAGAAGCAGTGGATACTGAGGCGTGAGAAGGAGAGAATATAAGACAGAGGATGGAAGAAAAGATGGGAGGAGAGGTGGAGGGGAAGCTGCAAGTGGATGGTCCAAACTTCAAAGAGGCATACGCAGCAAAGGTCCAGAGGTTAACAATGTGACACCCCATTTACTACACAGACAAGATGTGAACCATACGTGTGCTCTGATTGCTGCAGCTTCTGCTTACTTTTCACCTCATTTCTGAAACCACCTGTGTGTGTGTCTTCCAGAAGCGTGTCCTTGGAAGAAGCAGACTATTTAGACAAGCAGCGGGCTCTTAACATATTTCAGCCCAGGGCCAAAACCTATTCTGCCCCGAGGCAGCTGATACTAGAGTACTGCTCATGTCACGTAGAGAGCAAGGAGAAACAAGTACACGACAGCATGAAAAAGGGCCAAGAAAATAAACTGGAGGAATGACTAAGCTGATTAACTATGAATAGTAAGCTTCGTGAATAAGCTTCATAGTATAAAAAGAAAAGGGCTTTTTGTATTTTGGATGGATATATGAGCGAGCAAATCTGTGGAAATGACAGCAGAGTGTGGCGTCAAAGCCACCGCCCGTCTAATTGCGAGCCGGGCCCATTCACTGAGCCCTAACACCCACCTAACACTAAACTCCATTAGGAGACAATAGCGTGGAATCACCTGTAAGGCTTCAAAAGCCCAGGCTGTGAGCTTCTCTGTGGAAATTACCCTCCCGTGTCCAACTCTACTCCCCGTTGGGCGAATCCACCCACTGCTGACAAAAAGCCCTCATTAAGGGCTTCATGCCTGGCTCCACAGCAGGGGCCCACGCACAGTCACATCTGTGGAGAAGTGGAGAAACTGGGCAGGACGTAGCCTCCAGCGCACGGACGCATTAAAAACCTGTTAGTCTCTGAAAAAGCCCCTGGCATGGGTGTGAGTTAAAGCTGTCTCGGGGGGGCCCGGTTGGCATAAGTGAGTCAATTTTCTCTTGTGTTTTTTTTTCTCCCTTCTATAAAGTGTACTTAGAAGAAATGGGAGCTATTCTGGAGCGGTGCTCCATGCTGATAGCCTGCACAGAAGTGTTTATCAAGCTGCAAAATATCATTGTTCCAATTTGCCAACAGAAATGTAGCTAGGATTTGCAGAAATGAATCTTTGTGTCACTGAAGGAAAAAAAAAAACTCCTCTTTTCCCTTCCATACAAGCCGCCTTGTTATTCTCCACCTCCCCTCTTCCACCACCACCTCCTCCTCCTCCTCACAGCCAGCAGGTCCATTCAGACACAGGGAAATTGGCAGAGGTGTGAGAAAAGTGGTGTCAGTCATTAAGGCTGGACAGCAGAGAGGTGTTTAAAATGGCATTTCCTCAGCTAATGCCTGACACCTTCTCCGTGAGGAAAAGGAGGAGGAAAGAAAATGCAAATGAGCTCGGGCAAAGTGTGCAGACTGGGTGTTTGACAGGCCTGAGGTCCAAAAGGAGGAAGGGAGTGCTACCCTGGACTTTAATCAAGGTCATCCAGCAACAGCAATTAGAGCATCACACAAGTCTTTATCATCCTACACACACAGCTTCCATCTACGGCCTTAGAGCTCACGGGGACTTTTAGAGGCGCTGCAGCTGGACCAGGAACAATAATCAGTGTGACAAATGCAGAGCAGCAGCATTTATCAGATCACAGTTTAGACTGAGCAAACAATACTGAGAGTGAATACAACAATGACGAAATAGTCTTATTTTTTTCTTCTTTAGATACCGCAAAAAACTGTCCAAAAGGAACCCTGACTGAGAAAAATCAGCAGTGTCGGTAAGAGGGGCAGTCTGCTGTAGGCCTGCACTCTGTAACGAATTTCTGACCTTATCCAACAGACGGTGATGAAGGTGCTTTTTTAAAGACACTCCAACAAGCTGTCAGAATGGCAGCCTTCACAGAAAAAAAAATCAATATTCCGAGTTAGGCCTGCACTTTGTGGTGAATTTCTGCCTTTATCCAACTTTATTTTCTTCTTTATCGCCTGTGTCATGTCGCATTACCGCTCAGCGGTGCACTCAGTTTCTTGCGTTCATAAAACGTTTCATGATTCTCCCGTCGCATGCAATGAAACCACAAAAAAATCAGTTTTCCCCAAGCATGCTTGGAGAACTTCAAGATCAACCCTACAATTAAGTCAGCCAGTGAAACTGTGAGGTCTGCGAGCGCTCTTACCTTTCGTTCAGGGAATTCCAGTAGATGGGCTCCAGGTTGCTGGCTGTCGTCCCCAGTAAATCCAGTAAGAATACCAGCAGGATCCCCAATCCATTCCCACTTCTTCGACACGCCATCTCAACCCTGACACCCAGCATATGCGGCCCCATTTAAAAGCAAGATCTTTTCTGCGGTTTCGATGCTGTTGCACACGAGGGGGGACTCTCTCAAAACAATAGATGCGCGGCTACAGCCGATCAGGCTATAGGTAGAAGACAGTCAAAGTGTGAAGCCAAAGCCCGCTCTGCACAACCTCATGGATCCGAAATGTGGCAGCTTGTAAGCGATCACAGCACACGCACTGAAATGTGCGAGGGGGAAAATAAACTTGTTCAATCCGCGCGTCTGGGTGTCCAAAAAACGATTTCTGCGCGTCCACAGTTGCACTAATTCTGTGCCAATCCCATGACTTTCCTCGTTAATCTGTCCTTCCCTTTTATTTCTCCAAAAACTGCGCTCCTCGGCTGAAAGGTAACTCCACGGAATCAAAAATATTTAAAAGAAAAAATGATTGCCACCCAGCCTCTAACTCTGTAGCCTTTCGGTGCGCCCTGATTGTCTTTTTTTCCGAACAATGTTCCCTTGTTCTCTGTGCCGACTCTGTGCGATTTCTCTCCCATTACCTTGTTTCCTCGCAAGAATATCTAGCTTCCAGCATATCAGAGAGGAACCGGGGAAAAGAAATACTGTCAGTGTGGCAGAAGGGCGCAATCAAAACCAGGTCAAAAGTGTGAGGGTGAAACGTTTAAAATGGAAAAGATGTTACTCGTGTCCACAGCTCCATCCTCATAAAGACGTGTTGATGCTCGGCGGGTTCAGTCAGTGCGCGTTACAATCCTTAGTGGCCTCTTTATGGAATCAAAAGCAAACACACACGGGTTGTAAATCCTTAATAGACACGCTGAAAAATAATAATCATAAAAAAGATCCGAAATCGACGATAAATCCAAGAATCAATTCAAAGAAACTGAGAGGAATAAATCAAAGCGCTAGAAAAGCATCTCCACTCTAATAATGTCACACACAGGCCAACGTGAAAGTTTTGAAGTGATAGAAAGGAAAAAATAATATTAATAATAATAAGATGCGAGTTGTGAGCATCAGTCCCGGCTGGAAATTATCTGATGCGGCGCATCATTTGGAGAGCAGGACGCGTCGCTTCTCGGTCATGGAAAAGCGCTTCATTCGTTATCTCCTCCGTCTCTCTGCCTCAAAATCCCACTGCTTTGACTCGTCCTAACGCTCGCAGCACATTGACAGACCGACTGGCTTGTTTGAGAGGAGGAGGAGGAGGGAAAAAAGGGGCATGGATGAATGGAAAGGAGAAAAAAAATCCCCATCCTCCGACTGGCAGGCAGGGCGCACTGACGGAGCGCAATTCTTCCAGGCTTTGTCGGCGGGGGCGGTATCGAGTCCCTTTCAGCACCTCCTCTTTCCTCCTCCTTTTAGAGTCTCGGCCCCCCTTCTCCCCTCTCCTAACTCGGACCTTTGGACTCCCTGGCACTCTATTCTGCCTCCTTTCAAACGCCGAACAAGAACCCCCTCCACCACCACTAGCTCTCTAAATGCTCACCAACGTGCGCCCCTGAAAGTGACGAAAGAGCAAGAGCGCCCTCAATGTATTGACTAAGCATCACATGTGGCACTGAGGCAGGATCGTATTGGAAAAACACAATCCAGATGCAGTTTTACAAGGATTTTTCATTCAAATGTCCCCGCAAAGCTACTTCCTACCGGAGTGATTACTCCAGACGCAAAGCGCCTCACAGAACAGCAGGAGCTTGCGCTATGAGGCCTCGTGGATACATAAAGCAAAGTTACAGCACTGTTTCAGGGATGAAGTTGAAAACAGGAACTTGCACCGAAATGTCTCCTTAAAGAGAATTATGATATCTCGCATGATCACTGGGCCGGCCTCACCTCGCTACATCTGCGCAGTGTAAGGGAAAAGAATCCGCTCTCCTTGTGTGGGAGGACAGAGCAGAGTCTCAGCAGCTTCAAAGCGGGCAGCTGAGCTTGATGGGTTGCAGGACGATCCGGGTGGCAGGACCCGCTGAGGGCCACACACACACACACACCAGTGTTTACGGTGGGGCCCTCAGCCTCCCCACTCATCCACGGCAACAAGCCTGAGACTGGACTGTCAAAGCTGTGCCTGTGCTGCCACCAAGTGGTAGATAGAGCGCATGAGCCTTAGGGGAAGACTGACTAATTCTTTAATCCCCCAATGTGACAGCCCCTTTAGCAGTGCATTATAAAGCATTATTGGATTTTGGTGTTTGACAAAGAGTAGATGATAAAAAAAATCACACTTTCCCGCTCTCTGCTGCATTATTTGAAAATAAAGAAAGAAATAAAAAGCACAGTTATTGCAGTAGTTTGGAATGCCAGCTTTTACTGGAATAAAGTGACAAGAACGGATCAATATTCTTTCTTTGTTTCACACCTACATACATGACATGACATCTGCATGAAGAATTCCCCCTAGTCCATGCATGACTTCCTGTTCCACCATCTGTAGCCGAGTGCAGTAGAGCCGCTGATACCTGAGAGGAAGAGATTCTGTAATATCTTTTATTGAAAATATTTCACTTCACAAAAACAAAGAGGAGGAAAACTCTACGCACCCCTGAACACACTCTGCCATTCCTGCACAGCCGGGGAGGAGAAAGGAAATGAAAGTGGGAGAGAAACAGAGGAAAGCAAGAATGAGGGCAGCGACTTATGGGAAAGTTGTGGCTCAGCAGACTTCAATTCAGTGTCATGCTCAAGGGCACTGCAGCACATCAGCTGAGTGAACCTCCAGGCGATCAAACCGAGGGTCCGCAGGCAGCCGGGGATACTCGGAAAGACAGAAGTGCAGACGTTTCCCTCTGCAGTGCGAAATTACAGCGTGCTTTCTTACGAGGATTGTAATTGCAGGGTTATGAGAGCCAAACAAGAAACAAATGCAGCAGAGAGATTTTATAGAGCTGGTCAGAGACACAGAATGAAAAAAAAAAAGAAAAGAAAAGAGAGCAGAGATGGAGCTGTTTCTGTTGCACTGACCTCCAGAAACCTTGGCAGGGCACACGACAAAGCTAAATGTAGTGGAGGAAGATAGACTGGTTCAGAGACAACAGCAGTTCAGAGGTGGAGCTGGCACGAAAAACAAACCTTCTGCTCTGTCTGGGAATCTATCTGTGTGGGTAAACTGGCGGGCTTGTGGCTCTCTCGCTCTATTTTTGAGTGGAAGATGACTCGGTTAAAAAAAAAAACTGCAGAGCTATAAGACACCACCTACATCAGATCTGCCATGTTGCTGAATAACAGAATGTACTTTCTGGAGATGTATTCATCTGCTTAATATACACTCAGAGCTGCGATGTTGGTGTTTATTAGTGTTCATTTATTCAGGCTGACCTCATTTACTGCACCGACCTTCAACTCTTCTTCGCAACCACATCTTCTCCCCGGTGACTCTGCCGCAGCTGCCAGACTTCACCACAGACACACACACATGCATACACCCACATAGCACACATAATGTGCTATACACGCATTTACACAAAATGACGCGTGAGCATCAACATAAGCAATTACACCAAGTGCATGGTTGACATTATGCATGCAGTGGAAGGTTAGGGATATACACACACATACACAAACACACAAACCAAGCGCAGACACCCACGGTGGCAGCAATACAAAGACCTCAGACAGGAAAACATGCACCCTGATGGGAATGAAATTCACACCAAGGGTGGTACTGATATGCGTGTGTGTCTGCGTGTGTGTGTGCACGAGGATGTGGGTTGTTGTCAGAGCATGGCACCCTCTTCCTGCCTTGCAGATGATAGATCTCAGCTCCTTTTTCCTTCAGCATCCGTCTATCCCTGTGAGCTTCCCTCTCTCGTGCTCTCTCTCTCTCTCACACACAC